GAATTCACCAAGAGAGTAATAAGAGAGCCCATAGATTGGGAAAACTTGTTTAGCAATGACACATCAGACAAAGGCCTTTTTACTAAAAGCTACAGTACTCTGCTAGCTTACAATAAGAACAAAACTAATTGCCCACTGAGAAAGTGGAGAAGGACCTGAACAGAAATATCACAAGGGCAGATATATGAATGGTCAATAAACATATGAGAAAGTGTTCCCAATCATTAGCCATAAGAGAAATTCAAATTAAAACAACTATGAGAATCCACCTTACACCCTCAAAGATAGCCCAATTTAAAAAAATCAGAAAGTAACAAGTATTGGAGGGGCTGTGGTGAGATAGGAACTCTCTCGTCCACTGCTGATGGACCTGTAGGTATATAGAGCCATTATGGAAATAGATTTGGTGCTATCTAAAATATATGGAAATCGAGCTACCATATAACCCAGAAATCCCCCTACTGGGCATATACCCAGAAGAGGCAAGTAACATACCATAGCCAGATATAGGGAAAAAGATCTATGTACATATATTTATATGTTAAGTATTAAAATAGTAGACAGACATTGGGTTACTACTCAAACAATCCCACAATGCAAGAACACTTTGTTCTTATAACCCGGCATTCTGTGATGCTCACCTTTCCCATATGATCGCTGAAGACAAAATGGGTGCATAAGCAAATGTAGTGAAGAAAGCTGATGGTGCCTGGCTATCAAAAGATATAGCATCTGGAGTCTTAAAGGCTTGGAGGTAAACAAGTGGCCGTCTAGCTGAGAAGCAACACATTCCACAGGGAACAAACACACCAGCCTGTGTGATGATGAAGTGTCAATGGGATCAGGTATCAGGCATTAAAGTCCCAGAACAAAAACTTATAAAAATGTGAATAAAGGGGAGTGAGGAGTGGAGTCCCAAAGTCCATCTGTAGACAATTGGACATCCCCTAACAGAAGGGTTACAAGGAAGAGACGAGCCAGTCAGGGTGCACTATAGTACTGATGAAACATACAAATTTCCTCTCGTTCTTTAATGTTTCTTCCCCTGCACTACCATGACCCCAATTCTAACTTATAAATCTGGCAAGACCAGAGATCATACACTAGTACAGATAAGAGCTGGAAACACAGGGAGTCCAGGACAGATAAACCCCTCAGGACTAATAATGAGAGTCACAATACCAGGAGGGTAAGGGGAAGGTGCTGGGAAAAAGGAGAAACCAATCACAATAATCTACATATAACCCCCTCTCAGGGGGACAAACAACAGAAAAGTGGATGAAAGGAGACATCTGTCGGTGTAAGACATGAAAGAAACAATGATAAATTGTCAAGGGTTCATGAGGGGAGAGGGTTGGGGAGGGGGAAATGAGCTCAAGTAGAAAGAAAATATTTTGAAAATGATGTTGGCAACATATGTACAAAAAGTGTTTGACACATTAGAGGTATGTGTTGCTTGTGATAAGAACTGTACAAGCCCCCAATAAAATGATAAAAATATAGATAATAGATGGACTTTGGGCCTTTACTCAAAGCTTCCCTTACCCCAAGAACACTTTGTTCTAATAACCTGGCACTCTCTGATACTCACCCTCCTGACACATCATTGAAGTAAAAAAATGGGCGCATAAGCAAATGTGGTGAAGAGAGAGGATGCTGCCCGGCTATCAAAACATATAACATCAGGGGTCTTAAAAGCCTGAAGTTAAACAAGCAGCCATCTAACAGGGAAGCAAAGAAGCCCACACGGAAGAAGCACAACAGCCTGTGTGATCATGAGGTGTCGACGGGATCAGATATCAGGTATCAAATGATTCAACACAAAGAATTATATTGATAGGAATGAGGGAGTTTGGAGTAGAGACCCAAAGCCCATTTGTAGACAATTGGATATCCCCCACAGAAGGGTTATAAAGAAGGGATGATTCAACCAAGGTACAGGATAGCATTGATGAAGCACACATCATTCTTCTAGTTCCTGAGTGCTTCTTCCCACCACACTACCATGACCCAGTTCTACCTTACAATCTGGCTAGACCGGAGAACACACATTGGTACAGATAAAAGCTACCAACACATGGAATTCAGGACAGATAAACCCCTCAGAACAGTAGTGGGAGTAGCTATATCCTGAATGGAGGAGGATGGTCGCAGAGGGGTAAGGGGAGAAAGGGGCAACCTATCACAAGGTTGGATATATAGCTCACCCGGAAGGGGATAAAAAACAGAAATGTGGGTGAAGGGAGACAGAGGAAATTGTAAGATATGAAATAATGATAACAATATATAATTGGTCAAGGATTCTCGAAGGTGAGAGGGAGGGGAGGGAGGGATAAAAAGAGGAGCTTATACCAAGGGCTCAAGTAGAAAATTGTTTTGGAAATGATGATGGCAACATATGCACAAGCTTGATACAATTGATGTGTGGAATGTTATAATAGCTGTAAGAGCCCCCAATGAAATGATAACAAAAAAGAGTTCTATTTCAGCTGGTTGCATGTGATTTGTGTAGGCCTGAATCTCTTAGGGATCCAATATCCACAAGGTTCACACCATCTCAAGGGAAAAGGAGTTAATATGGTCAATTTCATCCCTCTTCTGGTACTGCGATAGGTAGATTCACAGATAACCTGAGTTCAATCTCGTGGGAATATAGGGAAACACATAAATCTTTTCATTTCACCCCTTACTGTAATAGTTCACAGTCTAAAATGTTAAATGCTTTCTCTCAATAGATACTTCCCAGTAATCCTGTAGAGCAAGAAAAAGAAGATACGAGTCTGGTGAGTTGAACAAGGCAATCACTCAGGAAGGAGGAAATTCTACACTGGCTTTCTTCTTTTACCAAAGGGGGTCGCCTGGGTTTAGTCAGTGTCCTAATAGGGGCTGTGCCCTGGATGCCATGATCCTGGGAAGTAAGACTCCTTCTGGTACCAATGATTCTATTAAGGAGGTAGACCTTGGTGAGGGATTACTGATTTATCAAGTGCACACAAGCTAGCATGACCAAGGATATAGCAGGGAATTTAGAAGGACATAAACTATAGTTTGAAGAAGTAATATCAGAATAGGTTTTGACTAAAACAGCAGACTATGGATTGAATTTATTTTAACTTCTCTTGTAGTTTTAAGAATTAATGTTTCATTTTCCCCTCCTGTTAAATGTATTCCCTGTCCCTGAGATGACAGGCTACCTGTGGCAGGCAGTGCACCTATTCATCGCAGACTGAGATGTAATCTAGCCTAAATCAGAGAGGCATGTTGGGGCTGTGTTACTCTACTTGCTTTTCAGACCGTAGGTGATTATGTGGCCATTGATTTCTGGACAGTTTCATGCAGATTGTTACTCGCTAAACATTATTATTATTATAAGGCTGACTTAGAGTGCTTGTAGGAATTCCTTCTGCTTCAGGCTTGGAGATAGAATTTAATGCATTCATCAGCAAGGCTGTGTATGGACTTGAGAATTACTGAAAGCTCTTATGAACCCAACGTCAAGATGATGATTCTGACTCAAAGTGATTCTCTGTAAGGTTTCCTGAGCTATAAATCTTTGAGGGAGTAGAGAGCTGCATCTTTGTCCCTGTCTGGCGACTATGAATATCTGATTTTCTTACCAGCCATGACCACCAGGCATCCTCACAGTTCTAGTTAGGTGCAATTTGTCCACCTTGCCTAATTAAAAAACTTGTTAATGATGAAACGTACCCCTTTGCAAAGAGAACTCACTGTATAAATATCTGACAAGCATCCTGGCATAGAAGTCCAATAGCCGACAGCACTCCAGCTAGTTACTTTCTCAGCGAATCTGCTGATTCCTGACAAACACACTAATATAGAACTAAAATGGCTCGCACACCAAATCCACTCATTTCCTTAAAATACTTTTAAAAAATTGGGGTGGAAAATAATCAAGTTCTTTAAAATTGTTGCAAGGCTGGCCCATATTTTGCTGTGCCATCCTAAGTCTGTGCTCCCTGCTGTCAGAATTCCTGATTCCCCTTCCTTCTCTTATCAAAATACTTGGTAAAACAAACTCCACTTAAAACTTACAGTGCATTTTCAAAGCAAAAGCTACCTCCAAAGCAGGACTCAGTTAAATACCACGCTGGGAATTCTCACAGCTGGGACTCAAGCTCTGTAGGACCAGACATTAAAACCTCGAGGCAAGAAGTGTCTTAATTATTTTTTATTCCATCTCCAGGACGTGAGAACCTGGACCATTTCACTCCTCTTAGGACAAATCACACGGATTGGAATGTTATGGAGCTCGGCTGACTCACTGATGGGTAGTACCCTCTCTCCCTTACGAACTTTAGAGAACAGAGATCCTACAAAATCTAGAGCATCACTTCTAAGTTCACTCCTCTCTGCATGAGTCAGGAAATGTTATTTCTCTGCTCATGTGTGGTTTCTGGTAGATTCATTTTCTTACATTCATAGGTCAAGAAACATTCATCCAAATCTAAACCATATTTCAATTTTTGTGTAAGAAAATTTCATACTACAAAACAATCAGAAACTATCCTTTCTTCTTTATTCTATTTTTAAATTATTATCATTTTCTCTTTGTCTCCCTCTCTTCTCCTTCTCTATCTCTTTCTGTTTATCTTATACATCATGTTTTTCCTTTTGAACCAAGGCCTAGCCTAAATAATCTGCACTGAGAAAGAAATACAGTTATTTATATTTAATAATGACAAGCTATTCATCTTTGACAATCTTGACCAACAAAACAATAATTTCATAGGATTTGTTAGTACATATGTACATGAATTAAGTGAAGGGCATGGAAAAGAAGGGCGATAGTCATTTTATTCTATATGTACCAGCTGGTCCTGGGGACTGGAGGGGATTGTGATTTAGGAACTCTGTAGATGACAGTTGCAACCCTTAACAACTTGCAACAAGAGAGTATCATCGTTAACTTTCACAGCCCATACCGACAGTTGTTTTCTTCTCAGGGTTCAAGACCCAGTGGATCTCAGACTGAAGAGGCCATGTATAACTTGAGCTGTTACAACCCGGATTCATTTATCCTTGTTGGCATACCTGGCCTAGAGAAGTTCCACATCTGGATTGGAATTCCCTTTTGTATCATCTATGTTGTGGCCATTGTGGGAAATTGCATCCTCCTCTACCTCATTGCAGTTGAGCAAAGTCTTCATGAACCCATGTTTTTCTTCCTGGCTATGCTGGCCAGCACAGACCTCATTTTGTCCACTGCTACGGTACCCAAACTTCTCAGCAATGTATGGCTTAAAACCAAGGGAATAACCTTCTCTGGTTGCCTCACCCAGATGTTCTTTCTCCACTTCAGCTTTGTGGTAGACTCTGCCATACTGTTAGCGATGGCCTTTGATCGCTATGTGGCCATCTGCTTCCCCTTGAGATATAACACCATCCTGACTCCTCAGGTGATCATCAAACTTGTGGTCAGCATTGTGGTGAGGAGCTTTTCTGTCATCCTTCCAGATGTTTTTCTGCTGAAACGGTTGCCCTTCTGTGGGACGAGGATCATCCCACATACATACTGTGAGCATATAGGTGTGGCGCGACTTTCCTCTGCTGATATATCTATCAACATATGGTATGGATTTGCTGTACCTCTTATGACTGTCATCTCAGATGTGATCTTCATTACTATTTCCTACACCTTCATTCTCCGCGCTGTCTTTCAGCTCTCATCCCGGGGTGCCCGCCAAAAGGCCCTTACCACCTGTGGAGCCCATGTCTGTGTCATCCTCATGTTTTACACACCTGCTTTTTTCTCCATCCTTGCTCATCGCTTTGGACATAGTGTCCCTAGACATGTGCTCATCTTATTCGACAACCTCTATGTGGCCATCCCTCCTGCTCTAAATCCTATTGTTTATGGAGTGAAGACCAAGCAGATCCAGGAAAAGTTTATCCTCCTCTTCTCTCTGAAGGAAATGCAGTGAGCGGCAAGGGCCATCAAAGAAGAGGTTGAGGTGAGGAAGTTTTTCTTCCTCCCTATGCTGGCCAGCACCGACCTCACATTGACCCTGCTACAGTGCCCACACTTCTCAGCAATGGACAGCTGGAATCCAAGGAAATAACTTAGTCTGGTTGCCCTACCCCATGCTCTCTCTCCACTTCAGCTCTGTGGTAGACTCTGCCATACTGTTATTGATGGCCTTTGATTGCCATGTGGCCAGCTGCTTCCCCTTGAGAGAGAACACCATCCTGACTCCTCCCGTGATCATCAAGCTGTATTTACATAATACAGGAAGACAGGAAATACCACTCCAACTCCTACTGATGTGAGATTTCCTATTCATGTGTAAAGAAAATGCAGGAGGGGGAGGAAGAGTGAATATCTCACAGCACTATTACTAATGGCTGCATTTGTGCTTATGTATATATCTAACCACACCTATAGTGCATGCTCACTGAAGCCAGCAACAGTCCTAGACATGTTATTCTCTGCCCTGTGAAAATGCCTAGCCCTCTATGTGTTATAATAAATGCTTCCAGGATTTATAAAATCCATAAAATTTCTTCTTCCATGCTGTTCTCCTTAATAAGGATACAGTTGTCATCTCTATTTATTTCTCAAATTTATTTTAAAAAATTAAAAAGTTTTAGCCTGGGGGGAAAAACCAACTTTGTTGTCGATGTTTTTGCTATGGTTGCTAGGTGCCATCAAGTTGGTTCTGACCCACAGTGACCTTATGCACAGCAGAATCCGGACACTGCCTGGCCCTTTCCGTGCTCACCACTGTTCTTATGCCTGAGCCCACGTTGGAGCCACTGTGCCAGTCCATCTCCTCGAGGGCCTTTCTTTGTCTCACTGCCCTCTACTTTCCTAAGTATGATGTTCTTCTCCAGAGAACGGTCCCTCCTCACAACGTGTCCAAAGTACTTATGATGAAGGCTACTATGCATTTTTTCCCTTTGAAGTTACATGTATTTGTGTGCATACATTTGTGACATAGTCTATGAACAATATAAACTAGATATCACTTTAAAAAATACAGCAAGTTCCTAAATTCTGTGTGCTCTTCAAAAACATCAAAGTTCTCAAAACAATGAATGTTAAAAACCATACCAAGCAAGCTGTCATTTGAATATCTGGAACAAAAATGGTGGGCCTGAAGGTTCACTTGGATGATGAAAAAAAAAAAAGAAAAAGACAGGAGGTAGCTAACCTTTTAGGCTTGATCTAGTTTTCAACATTTTTGTTTGGTGTAGTTTTGGTTCATATTGGGGTATGTCAGATGTGTTATGTCATTGGGGATCCCGTTCTTGAATTTTTGTTAAACGTTTTTCTGTTTTCAGTATATGAAACTCAGGATTGATGAATCTATACAGATATCAAATAGAGAAGGGTTTCTCAGGGGGAGGCTACAGAGGAGGTGATGGGGGTGTAAAAGGAAAGTTTTGTCAAGGCGTTCAGAAAAGAAAATAATTTTTTGAAACGAATTGTGGTAATAACTGTATAATTTTGCTTGATTTGATTGAAGTATGGAATGATATATCTGTATTAACTCCCAATAAAATGGGTTAGAAAATAAAATAAAGGGAAAAAAGAAAAGGCTTAGCTATTTGAATTCTCCCATCCCAGGAACCAGACTCGTGTGTTCCAATCTTCAGATGGTTCTAGTCTCTGCCTTTGAGTCCCCTTCCCTCATGCCAAATACAGTTAGCAACCAATCCAACAACCAAACTGTCCCTGTTAAGAATTACATAATTTGAACTCTGTGAGCAAAATAAATGGGATGGTTTTCAGCTACTAAATTTTTGAGTAGTTTATTATACTATCAATCACTCACTAGAAAAATGACCATGACAAATCATTTGCCTTATGATTAATAATGCACTAATAAAACTAAGAAAATGTCTTCCTAACTAAAATTAACCCCTAGAAATATTTTTATTTGGGGAGTTTTGTCAGATTGCGTACATTTTCTCCCCACTATTTAGGTATAAAGGGTTGTGGAAGTTACATATATGGTGTCTATTTGGGACTTGAGAAGATTAAGAGTGAAGGGGTGGAGTCTAGTCTGTCAATCAGGTCACAGCCAATGAGGCCTCTGTGTGGGCATGGCCTTCTCCTAAGGATTCTGTGAATTCCTGGATTTCCCCTTAGAGGCGGGAGAGATCCTCTCTCTACTCACTCCCTTGGAGATGCTCTACTGACAGACAAATGCTCCTACGCTGGTAGACACTGTGCCCCATGAACTGAATGAGCAAAGTGGAGACCCTTGCCAGTACTGAGGTGCTTCCACCACCACTGGATCTACAAGGCTTTGCACTCACTGACTTGTTATCATCCTGCATTTAGTGTTACTGCATGTGTTTAGTGAGTCTAAAGAGTAATTTATAGATTGGTATTGGACCTAAGGGCTAATATTGGACTTATGGACTTGATCTGGACTGGGCTGGGATTTATCTGGACTGCTCTTGTATATAAACCTCTTTCTTACACACATATGAATCTCCCTGCATTTGTTTCTCTAGTCTATTCCGTTTAACACAAGGGTAAAAGCAGATATATTTTTACATAGAGAAGGACGTAAATATGGTTGAACTTGCGATACCTATTGAATAATGATACCTAAAGTTTAAATTGACATAGAAAATATTTTAAACGGACTTCCAGGAAGATAGCGACTGAGTAACACATACCAGAGGGATTCGGCAGAAATTGGCCCAGAAGAGTTACTAAGAGGAAAATTCAACACTGCTGGATCACAGGAGGAGCACCATAAAGATAAATAGGCACAGATACAAAAGGTTTTGAGGAGCTGGGGGCTTTTGGCTTACCACAGTGGAGGCCAGATAGGGTTTGACCTTAGCTCCACCACCTTCTCGTCTGGACCCAGGACCATTCAGAGTTGGCACAGGGGCTTAATCTTAACACAGCCTCAGCTTGCTGCCACCTTGGGGCAGGGACTAAACCCTTGCAGTTCCATGGGCAGGGATCAAGGCTCAGCTACATTGTTGCTTCCGCCCGCCCCCCTCCCCCTTCTCTCTATCTCCCCACAGCCTCAGCAGGCTTACTTTAAATTTTTTTTCTCCTCTTTGCCTCTTTCCTGTACTCTCACACTCCACTGTCGACCTCCAGACCACTCCCCTTAGCCTAGGGCATTTATGCCTGCCCCACACCAAGGTAGGTGAGCTCCACCCTGTGCAGCTAGCGCAAGTCTGGGGAAAGCCCGGCCAACCTCCACCAGTGGACACTCCACCCAACTTCTTACCAGGGAATTCCTTCCTATGTGGCTGGGGGAGGTCCTATTTTTCCTCTGAGGTCTGACATGACTGAGGGAACTACCTCCCCCCTACGTTAGTGCCTCACATGGCCTAAGGCAGCTCAGCCAACACTCATCAACGTTACAAGATGCTGCAGGAATCTCTGCCCAACCTCCAAAACACCAAGGCAGGTAGTCCACCAGCCTTCTGGGGTACTCCCCTGAGAGGGAAGCCACAGGAGAATAAAGTCGTAGATTAATTTCATAATGAAGTTACCGGTGGCAGTTTGAAGAAGAATTCCTACAAGTCTCCCAGAGACACCAGTGCTCTTTGGAAAATGGCACCTGGCTCCTCTCAAACAATGCACGGCAAACAGCCATCAGCCCCAATGACCTCAGCAAAAATACAGGAGAAACAAAAAGCAATAGCAGAAGATGTCCTGAACATAACAACATACATAGAAGAAGCAGACATTGAGCTGCTGCAGAAAGAAATTTTCAGTATGCTGCTTGAAGTCATACAGGATATGAGGGAAACAATACAGAAAAAGGATGAAATGATAGAGGAGATAAAGTCTATACATCAAAGGGAAGTACAAGGGCTTAGGGAGGAGATAACAAAACCCAGTAACAGACACATGGACCTCGAGAATCAACTGGAGGAAGCAGAGAACTGCATCAGTGACTTGGAGGACAGCCAAGCACACTTTAAAAAACATGAACAAAAATCTAATAAGATCATCAGAGAAGCTGAAGAAAAGCTAAGAGCCATGTCTGTTGCTATGAAGCGGAACAGCATTAGAAGTATTGGCTTACCGGAGAAAGAGACAACAGAGAAGTCATCTTTCTTCATAGAAATGGAAAAACAGATTACCAACTTCATATGGAGAGGGAAGAAGCTCAGAATTAGCAGAGAACTCCTCAAGAAGAAGGACACAGTGGGAGGGCTTACTTTACCTGACTTTAGCACATACTATACAGCCACAGTTGGCAAAACCACATGGTATTGGTACAATGACAGATATTCATAACAATGGAAAAGAACTGAAAACCCAGAAATAAAATCATCAGCATACAAACAACTGATCTTTGATAAGGGCCCAAAGATCCAATGGGAAGCAGATGCCCTCTTTAACAAGTGGTGCTGGAAAAAATGGATATTTAGCTGCAGAAAAATGAAGCAAGACCCTTATCTCACTCCATGCACAAGAATAAACTCAAGGTAGATCACAGACCTTGAAGTTAAACACCAAACAATTAGGGCCATCAATGAGGGAATTGGGACCAACTTGAGAACTTAGGCATAGGGAATACATAGGCTATCAGAAATAGGGAAGGACACAAACACAGAGGAGGCACAAATTGACAAATGGGACATACTGAAGATAAAATACCTGTGTACATTGAAAGAATTCCCCAAGAGAGTAATAAAAGAGTCCACAGACTGGGAAAACATCTTTAGCAATGACACATCAGACAAAGGCCTTATTACTAAAATCTACAATACTCTGCTACCTTCCAAAAAGAAAAAACCTAGTTGCCTACTGAGGAGGTGGGAAAAGAACATGAAAAGAAGTTTCACAGGGGCAGAAACCCGAATGGCCTACAAACATATGAGAAAATGTTCCCAATCTTTATCCATAAGAGAAAGGCAAATTAAAACAGCAATGAGGTACCACCTAACACCCACAAAGATAGCACAATTTGAAAAATGAGAAAGCAACAAG